ACGGGGGACGGCCGACGGGGTAAAAAGGGACAGGCAGGGTACCTAAAATCCTAAATCGGGACACACTGACACGTCCCACATTTCGTAGAAATGTTGTAGCAGCTAAAGTAATCAAAATATTGCAAAACTAAAAATAGTGGTGTAAACTTCAACATTTTTAATATCTACTATTATGTAAGTATAAAGCTAGTCAAGAAATCAAACATTTACTATCTCTAAAAAATTGCTGAAAAAAAGTGAAAAGTGCTATTTTGGAAAAGTACTAGGCCTACTTCTACAAGTTCTACTAAGGTCTGGACTCTGGAGCAAAAAAATATTTGCCATATTAAAAAATTTTACTTGCATAAAAGTTGCACACAGGTGTCAGCTTGAAAACTTAATTGACAGAATTTGCCTATCACATTGAAAAAAATGGCAGCCATTTCCGTGTGATGGGTAAAAAGGGACACCCAGCAGGGTAATTAGGGACAACCCCGGGCCCCGGGGCATAGTGGCAAACCACAGATTTTTTAGAATCAGTTCATTTTTAATTTCCTCATTTACCCAAGATTTAAATCAATTTCTTATGTATGATACTGCTGGTATCCAGGATACTTTACTGGTCTACTTATAGGACTCACAAATGAACTTGAGGCCTTGAGGGAGAGTCTAAAAAACTCTCTGCTTTGCCACTATGCCCCGCGGTAATTAGGGACAACCCCTAAAACACATTTTCAGCAGATCCTCTGTTAGCAAAGGCCACAGTTAAGATAATTATGGGTTAATCACAAATTCAGTTAATTCACAAATATTTTTGCTTAAATTTTAAATTTAAGTGAAAATCGAACTAAATTTAAATAAAATCTTCTTGGGGAGCAGAACAGCCTGAATGCCACACTCAGGATGATGTATGTTTTCGGTGAATTTTCCCACGCATTTTCACTTTTTTTAAGCTATTGCTGTGCACAGTTGGCACAATGTAATGAAAATTGATTCTCTTCGCGCACGTGTTCGCGCAATCCCAGCCATCAATTCTATGTCGCGCACGAGCAGTTTGTGGAGGAACAGACGCAATACTCACATTACTCAGTACAGTATGCCTTTAATTATCTTTCAATAATACGTATATGATTTTTCTTGATACGGAAATTTGGTGAATGAGAAATCTAGAACTTTATTTTAGAAGAAATTTTCTCTAAAATCATATGGCAACACTGAACACCGTCTGTTTACATTTCGTATGTATAATAGCCGCAGTTTACGATTAGGCCGACCGTACGTTCCGTATCCGACAAGGCGGACAAGCGGAAGAGTCAGCAGTAACCTGGACATGTCTTACATTTTATTATTGTCAGTTCAACTCGTGTAGTCAATATACTCGCGTATATTGTCGACTAAAATAGTAGAACTATTTTAGCTTCCTAAAGTACGGTGCACGGCGCAGTTTTTTACCAGCATAGTACGGCACACCGCGCAGGTCGTTAAAATGACAAAATAAATTCCCGTGCACCTGGCACATCTTCCTGACCATGGCCTGGATGTTAGGCAGAACTCCTAACATCCAGGTTACTCAATGCAATGGCCAATGGTCACTCCCTATAGAAGCTTGTTGAGCTCCTCATCATTACGTTACATCTAAAAGGAAAAGGAGGACTTTGGAGTAGTACTGCTGGTAATAGGTGAGTACTCTCTGCTTCTCTGCACGCTTCAAATGTTTAAAATTGAGTTTTATTTCAAGTGTCCCTTTTTACCCCGTTTCCAGATGAATTCAGGAGCATTTTATATTGTGTCTAGCACCTTACAAATAGCATATTAAATTTTTTTGAAGATGCCATTCAATAGCCCCCGCAAAGAGCTATAAAATGAGCCTATAGTATACTTGTTTGTGAAATGTTTCATGGTAAGAAGTTATTAACAAAAAATGCTCAAAAGTCAAAACCATCCCTTTTTACCCCGTTTGATGGTAGTATCTCAGATTTGTCTCTTGTTTGATAGATATTTTTCATTTTTCTTTTATTTATTGGATTTTTGGAAGTACCATAAAAGGGGGTTACTTTGACCATTTATTTTAAATGATGTCATTTTTTTACTAGGTAAATTAAACTTAAATAGAAACATGCTAAATACAGGTCTATACTCACCATAAATTGCTGGCTCCTGCCTCTCACAGTTTTGATGTAATTTTAAAAAAAGTGATGGTCTTTGTTACTTCCCACTCTTGGGGTTTCTTTGACTGGGTGGTAAAATCAATTTCATTTTTTGGTAAAATAACTCCAGAATTTAACATGTTGACTACAATTGCTGCGTCTTGTACTATTATTTCATTTTTGTACTGTTTTTAAACAGGGTTGCCAGACGGTTATTTTTTCCGGACAAATTCCGTAATTTAGTTTTTCTCAATTGCGTTGGCTGGCTAAAATTTATGATGGGGGTACTTCCTAATTAAATTGTAAGTACTGGAAAAAGAAAATAAATGAAATTTTTATAGCGAAACCTACAAATAAACTAGTATATATTGGGTTATTGGCCTTTTTTGTTCTCGGATTTGGCCGATTTTAGGCAACCTGAATTATGCACCACTTTGTCCTGGAGAAATACATTTCATGGTACGCATATGTACCAATACGTAGTCAATGTGTTAAAGCCCGTCGTAGAAACCCCTCCAATTTGTTTATTTTTTGGTAAAATAACTCCAGGCTTTGGTGCACTGTAGTAGAACTCTTTTAGTTACATATGAAATGACAAATTTGAGGGAAGTGTCATAGTTTGCAAATGGGGGGGAACTCTGACCACCTAATAGCCCTGGTGGGGTAACATTGACCGGCTTGGTAATTAAGTTAAAAAAATTAAGTTAAATTGGCCATATATAACATATTTTATGTTTGATACACCTATTAATGTTATTTCTTTATGTTTCAGACTCTACAGAGTCTTATATATGGTACCTTAACAGGCTTAACTTAATTTCCAAGCTGGTCAATATTACCCCATCAGGGCTGACATTAGGTGGTCAGAGTTCCCCCCATCCGCCCCCCCCCCATTTGCAAACTATGACACTTCCCTCAAATTTGTCATTTGCATATGTAACTAGAAGAGTTCTACTACAATGCACAAAAACCCGGGGTTATTTTGCATAAAAATGAAAAAATTTGAAGGGGTTCTATGACAGGCTCTTTTTTGTGGATCACTGTAATGAAGTGTTCCTGCAAATTTCCCACTACTGTATGTCAGACTCCGAAGTTTAAGTAGGACCGACTCTGACGTGGGTGTTGAATTGATTATAGCCGTCAGATACTATGCCGATCCCGACTTGCGTCCTGGTTTCTGTCTTATAGGATTTTGACTCAGACGCCATGGTGAGTTGCATGCTATGGTGGTGAAATGTAGCTTGGAATACTTGATGGAATATCGTGGTTTTTGTGTATATAACAACTTGTCATGCGTAGCTATTTACTTTCTGTTTTCTGTTGAAGGATCGTGCGTTTTCTCAGATCTCCATGCGTAAGCTCTCTCCTCACATTTTGCTCTCCTCGCACCTTAGTTTCCTCCGCATTTAATTTATTAGCTTGTTTAATTCATATGCCGCACCTCTGTAATATCGTTAGTTTGATTTGTTTAGTTTCAATTTGCCATTTACTTTAATAAATTTTAGAAAGTTTGTTTGAGATAACTATCCACTCTGTCCAAGCTTTTGCTGATATAACCAACAGGGAAGTTGCATTTAACTTCCAATCATTTGTGGACGTGACGATTAGACCATTCGAACTTCTGAGGTGACGGGATTAATTGGCTATTCGGGGATTGAAGATTAGTTCGTCACAATCACATTTTTCATTTTTTAACCTATTAGATATGCAAATTTTTTAAATCTTTCTATTTTGTTACTTAGCCTCAGTATTAGGCCTTTAATGTCCATTGAAAAAATTTCTCTATGTCAAATAGTTTTTCAGTTTTGGGGGGGTTTTGTTAAAAAAATTAGAAATGGTCAAACCAACCCTGGGAGTCAAAGTAACCCTCTCTTACGGTATTTAGTTAACTAGTACTGTAGTACATATACCATATTTGGGGGTGGGGGCTTATGGGCACAACCAATCACAGCTGGAAAGTGATAGGATATGCATATAATATAATGGACTGATCAACTGAAAATGGAAAGTTCCTGGCCTTTCCAAGCTTTCAGGTCCTGCTTTCCAATATGCTATGGGTACTGATTAATTTAATATCCCTCTAGAATTCCCCACTGCCCCAGGGGGTGTCCCTTATTACCCCCCCCCATGTGGAATTGGCTGCCATTTTTTTGGTATGAGATGCGCAAATTCCATCAATCACGTTTTTAAGCCAGCACCTCTGTGCAACATTTATGTAAGTAAATTTTTTAATACAGCAAATATTTTTTTTTGTTGCAGACCTTAGCAGAGGTAGTACTTTTCCAAAATTGCACTTTTCACACTTTTTTTACACAAATTTTTAGAGATGGTAAATGTATGATTTCTTAACTAGCTTTATACATAATTGATAGAAAAAATGTTAAAGTTTACTCCTCTATTTTTAGTTTTGCAATTTTTTGATAAGTTTACCTGCTGCAACATTTTGATTTTTTTTTATTTACCCTGCCTGTACCTTATTACCCATTTAATGGTACTCTACCGGTATGTTGTAGTTGTTAGTCCAATTGCTACAATGCAGTCCAAAAGATGGAAAAGTCTGCAACCTTTGTTGAAGCAAAATGTATTGAATATACAAATTTATAGACTACACAACAGAGATGAAAGAAATTTACTAGAAAATTTCTTTGCTTTTATTGAAAAAAAATATTTTCATAATAAAACCTAGAGCAGTTAAATTTCATATAATTTTAAGGAAAACAATTTTAAAAAATGTGATTTTCAGCAATCATGGTGTTACTCCATTTTGTATAAATCTTTTAACCTAGTGATAGATTAGGAAACCTCAAATATTGATTTAGATGGATAAAAACAAGGAGTATTATTTTTTATTTCATGTGTTAATTTGCATTTCTGGTGAGCAGTGTTTTCAGTGTATGTATATATACTGTTTAAGTTTATAGTGTGCATATCGTAAATTGAGCCATGGAGCTTCCATGCTACACTCTGCTGCAAGGTCCCTCTGACTCGGAGCTGCCCTCGGAAATGCTGCTGCGGCAAAACCTTGGTATGGAATTCTCTATTTTAAATATTATATAAATTTTTTATCTGTTAGAGAAACTTTATGTGGGATAAAGTACAACAGGATAAATTTCATAACATGATAAATTTGTAATAAAATCTTGATTGTTCAGATCATGACTGTAAAATCCTTCAATCCTTCATTTGAAGTTAACAGAAGTTCTAGTTTTTTAGTTTATTTCCCCTTCTAGTGCTTGCTATATTCTCAGATTGCTGGCGATAAGTTTACTCTTAACTTTGTCTACCACCAAAAAGCCTGCTTGTCCACCAACACACTAGTATGCACGTTTATGCTTTCATTTCCTAAATATTTTTTTTAAAAAAGCTGTACTAATTGTATACTTTTTCAGAACATGGAGATGTCAACGTCAAAATTGATGCTCTTAAGAAGACCATTCAGCTGATACTGTCAGGGGAGAAACTTCCAGGAATTCTGATGACTGTCATAAGGTTTGTTTGTGTAACATATATGCTATATAAAGTTAAAGGATATAAAGAGTTATGGCAGTCTTAATTACCTTGCTAGACAAATAGAGTTATGCTATATAAAGTTAAAGGATATATAGAGTTATGGTAGTCTTGATCACCTTGCTTCACAGATGACACTATTTGGCCACTTATTCTTGCATTGATGGTTTCTTTTCTAAGTCAAACTGCCTGTAAATATGAATAAATAGTAATAGTATTTATTGAACCAGGTTAAACTATTTTAAAAAGTCTCCTTCAGACTATAACACATTCCATTATTGTACATAAACGTGCATCAGACTTGTCAGTAAACTGTACGGTTCTTATGGTACAGTACTGTATAAATGTATGGTCCAACAGCATAAAAATATAAATCAGCACTCACTTCAGTGAGTGACAGAGAGCGCATTTTCTCGTTGACCAAAACGTGAAGTCACGGACGGACGGACAGACACACGCGCACTATGGCGAGCACAATAGTGCATTTTTTCCATAAATGAGAAAATGCGCTAAAAAGTCAAACTTATTTTTACAAAGCACTGTAAGGCATATCGATGTTCTAAGTCATGTAGAATCTGTAGTCAGAATGATTAGGTTTTACTAAGTAATATTTAAGGCAACAGCAAGATAAGAATTTCCTAAGATATAAACCTTATCTCAGTTTTCAATTTTGAATATGAGTCTTTGCACAGCCTAAATTAGTTTTTAAAGTAAGAATTGCATATAATTCTGGAAAAGTTATTCCTCACTTTCAACTACGTAGAGCTCAGACGTCACTTCTAGATGGACTTGCCTGTTTATTTGAATACAATATGTTTTATGTTGTCATTGTTAATTGCAATTCTTTCAATTAACATGTTGTCATTGTTAATTGCAATTTTATCAATTTACATGTCATTTTTAATTGGAGAAAGATCATTGAATAAGGTAATGTTCACTGTATGCATATTATTAGATACATCAGTTACCCATTATAATAAAATACTGTTACATATCGAGTAAGCTTTATGAATGTGTTTTATTCCCGTAGCTTGTTGTGTGCAGGTTTGTGATGCCGCTCGAAGATCACACCATCAAGAAACTATTGTTGGTCTTCTGGGAGATTGTTCCTAAGACAACACCTGAGGGCAAGCTACTGCAGGAGATGATCCTTATCTGCGATGCTTACCGGAAGGTCAGCGTTTCCAGAAGTTCTCGTGTTTTAGTTTATTTTCCCTTCTACTGCTTGCTTTTTTCAGACTGCCGGCGATGTGTTTACTCTTAACTTTGTCTACCTCCAACAACGCCTGCGTGACCACCAACGCACTGGTATGCACGTTTATGCTTGCAAGTCAGAAGGATATTGCCTCAATTATTTTTAAATGGCTGCTCCTGGCTTTATTTGTGGATTTGCTTATCATAGGCCCAGAATTTGCTCTTATCCTTCCTCAGAACTTGCAGCTCAGTTTTTCCTGGAGCTATTGTCTCCATATTTTTACCATGGCTCCATCCTTGACTTCATAAAGTGTATTGCATTGTAATGAATAATGCAACATGAAGAACTCCACCCAACTGCTTTAGAGTTGCCTGCAGTGCTTGCACATTTCCTTCCTTTCCCTGTGCTCTCCCACTCGCCTGAACCTCTGTTGTATTTCGTTCCTAAGCCTAATGTGTTCGGTTGCTTGTTCTGAACTTTTGGTCATTAAAGTGCTACTTCTTGAAACGTGCTTGCTACTCCAGTAATTTAGTTCCAGAAAAGGTGTACGGGCTTGCTATATATAAAACCTATGTTTCAACTGTTTGCCTTCTTAGTAGCCGAAATTACTACACATTATTAATTTCCTTGTAGGACATGTGTAAAGTATTAAGAAGTTTTTGCATTTCTTTCCCGATTCTGTTACTTTCTTGAAAATTGAAGTGTTTCATGGTTGTTGTAGTCCTGATTCCATTCTGTTGCAGCTTCAAGTTGAATTGATTAGCATTTTTTATAGTTGAATTGATTTGCATTTTTTTAATTTGCCGATTCTATATTTAGTTATCATCAAATTTTTCCTGAGTTTTTACGCTAGTTCTTGTAGAATATATATCCATAATTCTCATTTCTTTAATATGACGAATAGGTACTGGTTTTGATTTTATTAGATGCTCTGTTCTATAATTTCCACATTGAAGTAAATCTTTTCAATCTTATTTGATTGAAATGAATTGAAATGATTCAATCAATGAATCATTTCAATTGAAATGATTCAATCTTAATTGATTGAAATGAAGCCCTAATTGTAAGATTTTTTTCTTTTTCTTCAATTGCAAATGGTTTTGCAAGGTATTTGATGTTGCATCTCCACATTATTATACATTAAGTGAGTTAATTGACGAATGCGCAACTAAACTAAACTCAAGGCTTGGACAATTAGTTAGTGTCCATCAGTGGTCCATCGCCGTGTGCCACCAGTACCGTCAACTGGGGTGACTTTGGCCGCCGGGGTAACTTCGGCCGCCGGGGTGACTTCGGCCGCGTTTTTTATTTTGTTTTGCAAACAAAAACGAGGTCATAAACGCCAGGGTCGTAAACGAGGTCATAAACGCCGGAGTGACTTTGGCCATCGTTTATGACCCTGCTTTTGTTTGTAGAACAAAATAAAAAACGCGGCCGAAGTCACCCCGGCAGCTGAAGAAGAAAATGCCCCGACATTAGCAAATGAATACGCGAGAAGGTACGTTTATCATCTAACTACTAGTGACCTTCAATAAAAAAAAATGTAACTCAGTACTCAGAGCAGTGAGTGACAGAGAGCGCATTTTCTCGTCGACGAAAACTTGAGGTCACGGACGGACGGACGGACAGACAGACAGACAGACAGACAGACAGACATGGCGAGCACAATAGTGCATTTTTTCCATAAATGAGAAAATGCGCAAAAATAGCTCTACAATATCCAGATGCAATGGCTTCTTCCATTTTTAGTGTATTTTCTCATTTAAGGAAAAAAAGGCGCTATTGTGCTCGTCATGTCCGTCCGTCCGTCCGTCCGTCCGTCTGTCTGTCTGTCCGTCTGTCTGTCTTGTCTGTCTGTCTGTCTGTC